TGTAAGGTGCTAAAGGTACGGTGGTGGAACAAACCTGCAGCGGTGTAATGTGCTAAAGGTACGGTGGTGGAACAAACCTGTGTTGAAATAGTCAAGAGGAGAGCGAGTAACGTTAGCAGCACCGCTAACGGCTAACGTACGGAATTACTGTACATTATATTAGCAGTTTCCACTAAAGAGCATCCTGTTGACTGTCCTTGAATTATTCGTAATACTTTAATAAAGCTTTCAGAGAATGACTGTGGTAATAATAAGAGGAACAAGATTACAGTGCATCACCGTTAACATTTCATATCCACAGCTCGACTTAGGTACTTGCTAGAAGTAGAACTTAATTAAAAGGGTATTAATGTGGACAAAACTATGCTTTGCATTACTTAAATATCACTTCACAATGAATTGGAGACAATAAAATGATAGGAAGACAATAACTTAAAGCTAGATTAATATTAAAAAGATCACTCTCTCTCTTAATTATTGTTGACCAGAATTAGAATAAGAAGAGTGAATCTCTGCAAACACTCTTTATGTTATGCAGACTTTAGGGATTAACACAGCATCGCAATGTTTGTTGCTGAGACATTAACATCAAATGGAGTTCAATATGAAAGTGACAGCTAAGAGATGAATCAGCCCACGGCTTGGGAATACCTCTAAACCACGTCCTGCTGCTCCGCAGTGACCTACTTATGATTTGGTTCATCAAACGATGCGGGTATTTACACATCTTGAGCATCCGATGCCCACATGTCTCGCTGAAAGAGTGTACGAGGTCTCGTCTCACGTCAGTCGCTTATGCACCTCTACCGACGACATAACAGGTTATTATTAAGCACCTAAAAGCTTATTTTAGCAGCAGTGAAATCAGCGAGGCGGCTGCTGGGTTGTCAGTGAGTTCAGAAGCTGGTTTTTCGTGCAGCGAAAACACACAATGATCTCGCACCCGAGTCTTCCTCTTTTCAGAGGAAGTTTAGATTGATGTAACAAACAAGGAACCCATAGAAGGAAGTGTTGCGTAAGAGATCTCCACTCAAACAAGGAAGCAGTGCTTCCCTATTTTAATGGAAACTGAATGGAATGTGGTGCAGGGTGTGTCTGTGTGTGCACAAGAAGGTAGAGAGCGTATTAGCCTTTGCTTTCAAGATGAGTATTAAATATGTATATTGTGTATAGGAGAGTAATTACCCCCTTTTGGTTACAGGGGCCAGAAAAGCTTATTTCTACAAAGACGTTTATCAAATATGGACACAGTCTGCAGAACACGAGCTGCTTTTTTAGAGGAATAGTTTGGAAAATCAACATATGTTGGGCAAGAGTTAGGTTAGAGGATCCCACCCGTTCTGGTATCTGTACGGCCAGCAGCCAGTTAGCTTAGCTTAACGAAAAGACAGGAAACAGCTAGCCCGGCTCTGTTCAAGGTAATAAAAACCACACGTTATATGTTGTTTGTTTACCAAAATAAAAGCAACACTTTATGCTAAGCTAACTGGCAATAGCTACGTCTATACAAAATGTTGAAGTATTTCTTCCGAGAAGTTACAAGAAATGGGAAAAACTGCATTGAAAATAAACTGAATAGATAGTATAAAGTACAAAGTAGAAGGCATAAAATAATGTGAAATTGCATAATAATAGGTATACTACTGCACATTATCTATTGATCATACATTTTATGTTGTGATCAATGAACATATGTCACAACAAAGCAACATGCTGGGCTGCTTTGGACTCCTGTTTTCATCAAATATACATGAAACGCACCAGAGTAGACGGCTCCAAAGGGCAGCAGTCCATACGAACATCAAAGTGACTTCTCGTGTTCCATCAATTGTGATTTAAAGGGTTCTGAATTATTAACAGTGTGCTAGAGGACTGATGTAAATGCGAGCTACAATAGTTTATTTGAAGAACAAAACACTCTTATTTCTATCTTGTTAGAAATTAATAAAACTACAACTCTCGCTCTAGATTGAATCTCTCCTCTCGCTTTGAAAAGCTGCATATAAATTGAGACATTTTATTGACTCGGGCTTTGATCAGACCTCTTCATGCAAAAACTAAAAGTTCTCCCAAACATAGCAGCGATTGGTTGATTTTTAATTCCAATTATTGTGTCGGAAAGTATGCAAATCCATGGAGGGGCTGTGTTATTCTTCCGGCTTTCAACCAAGTTCATTCATTTGATTCTTCATTTGCTTTTATCGTCGTCCCCCATCTCCCTTCCAGCTCACACTGGGCTAATTAATTTCCTCCGCACTCCACAGTTATTTCTATTATTCACTCCAGGCGTCCCGATGTGTACGCTGTAGCTGAACACGCCGTTTGTGTCCAAATCATCCTCCCGCCTGCACCCCCCATGTTGGTCCTAAATGATCCAGCATGCATGTTTATATTTACCTTGATGTGGGCGAGGTAGAGCTAATTAATATCATACATAAATGTTTTCCTGCGTGTGAATGTGTGGCGTTTCTTCTGCCTCCTACCTCGTTGCCGTACATCATGAGGTGGTGGGTGGCGATCAGGGCCTTGAAGACCACCACCCAGCTGGAGTTGGCCGTGCGCTCGAACAACGTGTCCGCCAGCTGGGGAATGCTCACATTCATCTCATTGGTGCAGTGGATCAGATCTGGTAGGAATTTTAAAAAAGACACAGAGAGTTACTACAAGAGTAGTTATTAAAAAAAGACAGCTGTACCAAGGACAGACGAACATGACGCACGCACTTCAGCTGAATTTTTAAGCGACTAAGGTGTGAAGGACACGTTCTAGCTGCTGAACTTTTGCTAACCCCCTTTCATCCTCTCCTGACTTTCACTCAGCTGCACCATCTCCCTCTTCTCTTGTTTCACTAAATACACTGACATGAAAAAAATATATATAATATATACAAACTTTTTAACCATTAGATGTTGAAAAAACCAGATACACAGACGTCTGAGTCCCAAGATCCTATCGAGCTATCGATGCATTTTAATTTACTACGAGCCGAGTGTATTTGATAGGATCTGAGCGGATACACCCTGTTCTCACTTTAGCTGAGATTGATTTGAACGGCTTCTTATAAAGATCCAGTGTCTTCACTCACAACAGGTGACACACACACCAATACGGACACACGCGGCTACAATTGATGCTTCACACCAGATATCGCTTCTTGTCGTTTCATTCCCCCCCCCCCCCCCCCCCCCCC